CTTACGTCGTTGTTACAGTTTTCACTCTAGTCTGTTCAAATATTAGAAAAAAATAACATCCTCTGCCTTTTTTTTAAAATATCGTAAGAAGCAATGAGTTTATATGAATTATTCCAACGAGTGTCAATTGATTGTCTTCAGAAATTTCTTCTGCTGAAATACATTTCTTCTTCTTACGTGTTATAGCATTCACTCTAGTCTGTTCAAATCTTACACTATATCATACAACACCAAATGTATACGTTTCTTATACAATTACCAGCAAATTGTAAAAAGAGCAAGTGAATCGCAAAGGATTAACTCTTCGCGGGGGGAAACCTATATATGGGCTATCTGTATTTATTTACGCTGGAGCGCGGAAACCCATATATTGCCGGCCGCGAAGGGGTTTAATACACTTAAGCCCATCTCCAGTGAATATAACGACAGTTTTGCCGCTTTTGTACGTCGCATTGGACGCAGTGGTTGCCGAAACTCTCGCAAGAAGACAGGCGTCTTCGCCCGAAAGCGAAGATTCCCCGAGCGTGTAGACATCGGATGGGGGAGGCAAGCAGGACTTCCGGGCCGGGTTTTCACGTTCGACTTTCCATTCGATTCGGTCGCATGTACCGCAAATCATTCCGAAATCTTGTAGCGGGACGCGGCGGTTTCCTCGCACGAGGGAGACAGGGTTGTCGGCGCAAGCGTGCCAACATCGATGCCCCACCAGGGGTTTTTCCCCCCTTTTCGGGTGCCAGCTAGTGCGAGACGTGCTCGGTGGTGGCCGCCGATGGTAGGGTGGAAACCTCTCCTCCGTCAGGGCGATGCACACACAGAACGTTTCACAGAACGTTCAGAGCCACCTCTACCTGTCTGTGCGTCCCTCCAAGTTTCCCTCCGGGTCCCTCCAGCTTTCTGATCACCCTCGACGGTCGAAGCCAGGAACCCCGCGGAACCGGCTCCATAGTGCCGCGCTACCCGCTAATCAAATCGCACATTCCCCGAGATCTCGCGGCAGTGTACGTTCTTTTTCTTTCCCCCCTGCCCCCATCCCCCATTTACGATCGGATTTACAGATTCCGAGTCGAAGGCGATCGTTTCGTTATACTTGAGATACTTGAGGTGCAAAATCAGCGAGTGTCCGTCCGTCGAAACGTCGCGCAGATGTGGATGACGTGGAGGCTCGTCGTGGAGTCGAGCGATCGCCGATAGTGGACGAGAGAGAGAGAGAGAGAGAGAGGAGGGGAATCGGCTCGGTTAAATGCAGAACGTTGCGGAATCGTCAACTTTGTGGAACGTTGCACGGTATCGCGAGCCAGCACGCTCGTCGCCACACGCCTCGGCAAGTGAAGCGATCGGTGTGCCTTTTACGGCTGGTGAAGTCTCCGCGGGACAGCGTAAAACGACAACAACAACGACGACGACGACGACGACGACGACAACGGGGAGATCAATTCGAGCGGATCGACGCGAGAGATCGGTCGCCGAGCGGAATTCGAGGGATTCCGAAGAAAAATCGGAGTGAGCCAAGAAGACAGAGAGGCGGTGGGAGAGGGAGAGGGAGAGGGAGAGGGAGAGGGAGGAGCGGTGCATGACGATGATCGTCGTCGGGTGAATGGAGCGGAGGTTCGCAGGCCGATGACAAACTGGGGACAAAAGTGGGTTCGGTGCGGCCGATACCGGGGGGAAAAGGAACAAAAGCAGAACGTGGCAGGACGAAAATCGCGATCCGACGCCGGTGGAATTCGCCGTTTCTTACCGGTCACCGCGGCGCGGACTCGCATTCGGCTACGAGTCGGCCGAAACTATCGCCGCTACGTCGTGATTCATTGGGTTTTTCTCTCTATCGGCATCCGGGCATTTACATCGGGCCCGGCCGCCCGATTTCCATCGACACGCGTGTAAAAACCGCACCGGCCGCCCCCGGCCGTTGATCAAAGGCGAACGAACGAGCGGAGATCGAGACTAGAGAGGATAGAGGAACCATTGGGGCAAAGTCTGCTGCGTCTCCTCCTCGTCGTGGTGTTCTTCGTCGCATCGTCTTTCTGCCGATCGTTTCGTCGATCCTCGCCGATCCTCGTCGTCGGAATATTCGTCCGTCGTTCGGTAAGCGAGGGGGCGAGGGCAGAGACTCGCGTTTCGTTTTCGACCGCGCCTTCTTCGGACTCGGTATTAGGTATTGGAACGCGAGGAGTAAAAAGGCCTTTCGCCTTTAGAGGTGCAGTTGGATTATCGTCTCGCTGCTCGTAGCCTCGTTCTCGAAACCTCGTTGAATCGAAGACGGCCGATCGGTAGAGAAGTTGCGTCGCTTCCGAGAGAATTTTCACGTCGACGCGCGAATTCTGACGCGACCGCTCGCACGTCGCGAAATTACCGAGCGTGAATTACTCGCGCGAGAGGCGTTCAGAGGATAACGGAGAGCCACGGAGCAACCGAGGAACGAGAAGAGTAGCGGTCTCGGATTTTACAAAGGAGAAGTGCCGCGATCGGAGTAGCATAGCCAAGGTTATGGTCGAGATAAACCGAGACCTGTAGGCAACCCGATAAGACGGTGGATCGTCGCTCTGGGCGTCCAGATCGCGGCAGGGACGCGACGAGTGCGCGGTTGACTTTGGCTGCGCTCGGACCTCGTCGATTCGCCATCTCTCGATCGGACCGCCGCGCGGCAGCGCAAAAATCCAGCCGGGGAATTCCAGTGATGTCGATCATCCGCCGTCCGGTGTCGTGCCCCGCCACCGGCATCATCCAAGTGACAGTTTTCCGCGAAACGATTTAACTAACGCCGTTCTTCGCCGATCTCGCGACCGACGAGGCAGCTATCTCACGAGAATTTTCACGTGAGAGCGATGAACGAGAGCCGACTCAGTTCACCGACGGCGCAACTCTCGCGATTTCTCTCCTCCTCGCCGAAGAGAAACACTATTTACAAACAAGTCGTTCAACTTCGATCTGCTGGCCCGTAAACATTCGTAAGCGTCTGATGCCTCGTCACGCGACGAACTGATTCGCGAAGACGCGTCCACGTGTGATTTAGACGCGCGATACGCGCGATCGTTGAACCGATCGTTGTGCGGCGGAGAGGCAGAGGCGAAAGTCATTGGAAGGTGAGAGTCTTTCGAGATCCTCTCGACGATCGATCGCCATCGATGTCTGCCCCGTGACAACACCGACGAGATTACGACGGAACTTTGGACGATCGACCGATCGGACCGATAAAAACGACTTGCGGAGGGACGATCGTTCGCTCGATTGTTAACGAGGAGCCAGCGACTACTCCACTTCGGCCAGTATCCGGAAGCGGAGAGTGAGAATGATCGACGATCGCCGCGTGGATCTTCCGTAGGTCCACAGTGAACAGATTTCGGTGGATTCGGCGCAATTGTGTAACCACAAGTTGCAACTTGTTCAGTGACGATCTTCTGCCGAGTCTCGTGGAAACCTTGCAAGTGAGAATTCCGCTCGCTCGAGCCGAGGAGGAGTTGAGACCCGGATGCCGAAAGGAAGAGGATCCTCGTGGCGAGGGGATTGAAACGATCACCGACGGCCAGGAAATAATAAAACGGAATAAAATCGGGGGCGTGAGCCGGTGGTGTTGTTGCCGGGACACAGCTTGCTGGTTTATACTGGAGCTGTACTTGCCGTACGCACCACTGCCGGGGGGTGGCGGGATCCTCCCGGCGGTGAGCAGCGGGCCCGGTTCAGGGGGTTGTCGTCCGGTGCTGTTGGGTGGCGTCGATCTGTCCATGTCGGCGGCGGTGCAGCCGGTCGCCACGCTGCCGACGCTGCCGACGCTGCCGAGTAGCGGCCCGCCGCCGCACAACCCGCTCCACCATACACCCGGGGGACTGGCGTTGCCGCCGCTGGGCTCGGCGCCGGTGATGATGCCGCGGCCACCACCGACCAGCACCATCCCATCCTTGGGCCCGTCGTTGCCGCCTTCCCATCAGGACGCCGCCGATTTGGCCGAGGCTGCGCCCAACCAGGACGTCCTTCTCGCCCTCCTCGCCAGGAACAAGAACTTGGAAGGTAAGGATTCTTTCGGCAGGAAAGTTTTTCCACCACTCTCGCGAGATCCCCAGCAGTTTCGCTCTTCTTCCATAGCCCCGAAGATGAGCAAGGAACGCCAGCTCAAGCTGGCCCCCGACATCCAAGTACTGGTGGATTCTTGCGCCGATTTTCTCTGTTCGCCTTCTCCCAGGCGAATGATTTTGTTATCGAGATGACGACGATTTCCTTGCCTTGTGGGATAATTTTGTTAGCTTTGGTGTAATATTGCTAGGAACTATATACAAGTTAAACTGAAGATTTCGTTGTGTTGTGATCTCCAAAATTAGTGACACAATATATCAGTCGATTTTCTTAGTTTTAATATAGAATTGCTAGGAATTATGTACAAGTTAAATCGAAGATTTTCTTTTGATGTGATATTAATATAATACAATTTTGATGTAACATCAATATAACGGAGTAAATTTTAATGTATTATTAATACAAATTGCAGGTAGCGATTTATAACATTGATCGTGTTTATATTTTCAAAATCAATGGATACTGTTACACGCGAATTCAATTTAGCTATCAATTTTAATCTCGTCGGTGGTGCAACAAACAATGAGCAATTTCATTTTATTTTTCCTCGCGAATTCACAGTTTATTTCCGACTCGCCACTCTGTGTATCTGTCACACGTGTTGCGTTATCGTTCCTCGAGTGCTCGTAGGAATTCTCAAAACTTAGCTAACGATTATCGTTCTGCACACTCTGTTTTCATGACGTTTCGGCCGGCAATTTGAAAATTCGGCTGATCCAATTCGTTGCAGAAGTTAACGTTATCGATGCAAAGAAAGTAGTTCAATCCTGATCTGAGTGTTAAAATTTCGTCGAAATTCACGCGGCGAGAGAAATAAAATTTCACGCAATATTCGATGAAGGGACGAGACGAAAACGCTTTGTGAAAAATTGGCGGACAATTTGGTGAAGAAGGAAATGTAAAGCAATCAACTCCATAGTTTTATAGAAACATATA